GTGCCCCCCAACTTCAGCTTGGTGTCTTGTCCTGAACAGGCTCCGGCCACCCCCCGCCCCGTGCCTGTGCAGCCCCTCCCCGCTTCTGAAGGGCCCCCCGGGAGAGCGAGCGAGCTGCACCCTGCAGAGATTTCCCTCCCTGTCCTGGCTGCCATCCAAGCCGTGGGGAGCCAGGTGGACTCTCAGGCTGCACAGTTGCTGAATCTGGACGGGAGAACGGGGACGGCTGAGAAGAAACTAGTCGGCTGTGAGAAAACAATGGTGGAGTTCGGGAACCAGCTGGAGAGTAAATGGGCCGCGCTGGGAACTCTGTTCCAGGGGTACGGGCTGCTGCAGAGGAGGCTGGAGAACATGGAGAACCTGCTGAAGAACAGGAACTTCTGGATCCTGAGGCTCCCCCCAGGCACTAAGGGAGAAGTTCCCAAGGTAACTGTCAGTCTGTCTAGGGACCTCCGTTGTCTCATCACTGTAGTATCTGAGGCCCAGATCCTCAAAGGTATTTAGGCCCCGAGTGCGAATATCCCAGCTCGCAATGAGGAGCAGAAGTAAATCTTGGTGCTGGATCACCTTTTGACAGGATCTTTAATAGTCCCCTGGTCTCTGCACCATCCTGGAACAGTCTGGTTTAGGAGCGTGATGGGGTGAGGTAAACACCTGCCTAGTGTTTGATTGACGGACCTGGTGTATCGTTCTCTGCCGTTACTCTTATGATCTCCAAAATGCTTTTCCAATCGGCTGCATACTTATTGCCGGTCAGCTGGGCTTCCCGCTTTGCCATTTACTGGGCCTCAGACAGAGCAAGCCACAAAGCATCCAGCAGAGAACGTAAGAATGGCCACACTGAGTCAGACCAATGGTCCTTCTGGCCCAGTATCCTGTCCTCCAACAAGCGACTGGTGCCAGATGCTTCAGAGGGAGTGAACAGCACAGGGCATTTTATTGAGTCATCCATCCCCTGTCATCCAGTCCCAGCTTCTAGCAGTCAGAAGCTAGGGACTCCCAGAGCATGGGGTTGTGTCCCTGACCATCTTGGCTAATAGCCATTGATGGACCCATGAATGTATCCAAGAGATGCTGAGCTAGTGGGCCTGTTGTGGGGAAGCAGTGCCATTGCTCCTCCACTGAATGGTGCGAGAGAACTGGGTAATTGTGGGCAGATATATGAATGCCGCAGTTTGTTTTAGACCAAGGCATCTTTATCTTTCCAGTCTGGTCTCCAGTTGGACACAGTTTAAACCAGGTGTAACCTGTCATGAGCAGCAGAAAGAGGTAGCCTAGAAGGAGAAGTCTCCTTTGCATGTGTATAGCACCTTTCAGCTGAGTTGTAAGCACATTAAAGTGCTGGGGAAGCAGCATTATCCCCATTGTACATATGGGGAAACAGAGGCACAGGATGGTCAAGGGAGATGGGATGGATCACTTGATGGCTGCCTGTTCTGTTCATTCCCTCTGGGGCACCTGGCATTGGCCATTGTCAGAAGACAGGATACTGGGCTAGATGGATCATTGATCTGACCCAGTACGGCTGTTCTTATGTTCTTATGAGATTGCATGTCAGTATCGGAGCTGAGGTTAGATCCCAAGCCTGCTAACTTGAGTTTTCCTTCCTTACCATTAGGCCATGCTCCTTCCCATTAATCCTCACTTGTAAGGATCAAAGAGTAAATTCTCTCTCCTTATCCATCCTGGTCTCCTCTGGCAAGGATACCAGCAAGGGTACCCGTTCGTGCCATTTGTGATGTAGCTGCCTGTCTGAGAAGAACTAGCCCAAGACATTTTATGTATATTACCAAACAGCTGGTGGGACGTGCTGGATGTTGATGGCTGGGCAGGCACCAACGGTGCCCTTTTAATATAAGATAAAAAGCAGGATGTGTGCAGATGGGATGGCAGTGGAAAGTGCTGTGTGTGTAATGCTTGTGATTTCAGGTCCCGGTTATGTCTGAAGACCTCTCAGTCCACTTCTCCAGGGAGGAGTGGGAGAATTTAGAAGAATGGCAGAAGGAGCTTTACAAGAACTTGATGAAAGACAGCTATGACTCTTTGATCTCCCTGGGTAAAGCTCAGATTTCACATATTGATGAGACGCTGTGAGCTTAGCAAAGTGCCAGGTTGCCAGATTCACTGACTAAAGCTTAGGCCTAGCCGGAGCCTAGGGTGATGAAAGAAAGATGGGGACAGCCCCTCAGCTAGTTCTTGGTAGTTTTTCCCCTTGGCGAGCTGCGTAAATAAATAGGAGGTGACAGCGCCTTTGGTTTCTGGTGAATGAACATGTAGGTCCCACAGAGCCTTTGCTAGGTGGTCAGTTCCACCCATCCTCCATTGGAAAGGAGCCTGGAACACACACAGCCCTGGCTCTGATACCTTCAACTCGCGTCCTGTTTGTTTATTTGCAGGTTGCATTTATTCGCCCCAGCATGGAAAAAACTGTGCTAGTCTGCGTGTTGGGTTTATGTGCTGCCGCCTTCTGGAAAGGGTGTTTCTTGAATCAAAGCTGCGTAGATTACAAAGGGAACAGTAGTAGCGTCTAGCAGTTTATCATTATGTTCCATATTTATTACTAATACCATTTAAAACCCTACACACGTGTGCACACGCACGCAGGTTTTAGAGGAGATTGTGTTAGGAGTCAAGGGAGCTGCTGTTTTCCTCCCAATCTAGTAATTAACGAGCAATAAACCAAAACAATATTTTAATTTCTACTGGCTCAGACATATGCGATTATATAAACCATTCTATGTCTTCCCTCTCTGGCCTGGCCTGGCCTTTGAAATGGGCTCTGGCCTTTCTGCAGGTTTGTCGATGGACAAAGGGATTATATTGATGTAGTGAAGAAGTCTTCAAATTGCATCATTTCTGGGAACCCCGCATCTCTTCTAGGAGTTACAATCCTGCTCCTCCCAGCGCTTTAATGTACCTTCTTGTATGGTCTTAGTCAGAGGTGGGCAAACTTTTTGGTGCAAGGGCCA